CCCCCAGGGGGGATGGTCACGCTGCAATCCCTTCTCCTCCGTTCTCCTCTCGGGATCTTGGGCACGCACGCACCTGCGCCCGGCGTGAGTTTAAGCCACTGGGTCCGGGACTCAAACTGCGGTTGACTACATGGGAGTCCAGCGACATAGCCATCACGCTAACTGCTGGTCCCTCCTGTGATAGGTTCTGATGCTGTAAGGATGACAAGGGGGACTGGTAGGTGGCATGGTTGGTAAGGGTGCTAGATTCCCACAGGTTGATCATGGTTGGAATCCCAGACCTGGTGTCTTGTTTTCTCACTCTCTCTCTCTCTCTCTCTGTCCCTCTCTGGTCAAATTTAAATAAATAAATAAATAAATAAAGTTAAATAAAAATAATTCTTAAAAAAAAAAAATGACAGGGGATCATTGATAAAAGTATTTTCAGGGTGCTTTGGCAGAGCCAGGTGTCTCCTGCTAGAACCAGGAAAGAAGCGAAGGCATAATACTGCTCCAGGCCTCACCAACTCTGATAACTACACATGACGAGTCTAGACAGAGCTGATTCTGGAAAGTTTTCTCTAAGGCCCTCCCCAAAGGGTCTTGACCTTTCCCACAAGGCACGGAGACTCTGGACTCCCAACCCGAAAGCACCCAGGCCTCCCCCTGCGCCTCGGCACAGCCTGCCCGGGGCCTGGGGCCACCACAGCCACTCACCAGTGTTGCGAATGATGTAATCCAGCACCACTAGCCGCTCAAACTGCAGCAGCAGCTGCCTGTTAGTGTTCTCGGGGAGAGGTTCCGCTTCAAAACGTCGCAGCCAGTAGTCGGCATCTTTGTAGCCTTCAACGAAGAGCTGGAACGATCCAACCTAGGATCCAACCAAGAAGAAAGAACTAAGGTATCTGCCTTTAGCCCAAGCCCAATGACCCAGGATTAAGCCATCCAGTAAGGCCATGCAGAGAACGGAAACACTGTTATGTCAAAGAAGGGAAACATTTCTAAGATCTTCACTTTTTTTTTTTTTTTTTTGGGGGGAGAGATTTTCACTGTAGGGCGCGTGCGCTCGCCAGACAGACAGAGAGAGACATAGAGACAGAAAGCGAGAAATCACCCCCCAGGGGGGATGGTCACGCCGCAATTCCTTCTCCTCCATTCTCCTCTCGGGATCTTGGGCACGCACACACACGCGCCCGGTGTGAGTTTTAAGCCACCGGGTCCGGGACGTGAACCGCGGTCGACTACGTGGGAGTCCAGCAACATAGCCATTACGCTAACTGCTGGTTCCCAGATCTTCACTTCTTCATTTCCTTGCCAGTACAGGAGAAAAGGACTGACAGTGACTTTCCGTCCAGAAAGAAAGACAAAGAACAGTGAGAAAGTTAGGTCTCTACTCTCCAGGGAGTTATTCCCAAACCTTAAGTCCTCAACAGAAACAAAGACAGAAGTCTCAGGACAGGCTATTCATGTGCCATCACTCAATCCATAGGCACCTGCTTCACCACCTGAATCAGTATGCCACTAGAAATCATCACCTCTGAGAAGACACACAGGTGTAGGCCATACCTTTGGTGGTAGCCCAATGCGGTTAAATCGCTGCCCAACTTTTGGCACTTTCTCGAGGGCAAGTCGCTTGCCCCTGGACTTCACTCGGTCAATTGCACTATAGTTGAAGGTGTCACTGGCCAGGTATACTACCTACAGTGGAAAAAGAAGAGAAACCCAGGTTAGAGTCAAATGTAAGGAACCAGACCCCTGTGGCAGAGAACAGAAATGAAGCAGCTGGCATTCACCAACACTGTGCCTCTCCCAGGGCATAGAGCAACTTCTTAGCCTTTCCAGTGACCCGGATAGGCAACAATGTTGACAAAGTAATGTATGCACATTGCTTCCAGGCCCAGTCCCTGACTCTCCCACAATCCTTAGTTCACATTCCCTGTTCCACGCAGTGGCAAACGAAGGACTCTGAGACAGCCAGAGCCTCTCCATGGAAGGACCCCAGGTCCCTGTCACTACGTGAGTGACATGGGCTCCAGGAAAGCTGCCTAACCAGTGCAATTCTGAGACGTGACCAAGAAACAAACTCCTACTATATTAAACCAGTGAGATTCAAGGGCTGCTACAACTGCTAGCGTGAATTATCTTGACGAACACTGTCACCTCCTAGGTTAGAAAAACAGGCCCAAAGCCTACTTTCCAGACAAAGCCAAATTTTATTCATATGCAAAGATTAAAATTAGTTTTCACTTTTAGTAGATTACTATGTTTTAGCAGATTACTACGTATTATGCATAGGCCATATGTAGAATATTACACAAGAAACTAGTAATAGGAGCTGTCTGAGGAAGAAAAACTAGTGAACAGGAGACATAAGTAGGAGGGAGGCTGAGTTACTTTTCCCTCCTGTGCCTTCTAATTTTTACACTAGATGCATGTATTGCCTATTTTTTTAAAAAATGCAATGGGCTGGCAGTATTGCACTTGTCACACCACAGTGACATCACCACACTTAGTATGTGTGTCTGTTACCACACTATCTTGTGATTACCCATTGGTATACCTAACTTCTCTCTTAAAGCTAATGAACTTTGGGGAGGCAGAGAACATATTTGCATTAGCACCCCAGCACCTACCACACTGCCTGATACATGCTCGTTAAATAAGGAAGGCGAGAGCTTCAAAAAGTTCACAGAAAATGTATATTATGACAAAAACATGTATTAATTTCAGTACTTTTTGTATCAAAATAAACTCATACTTTAATTCCACTATTCCACCAACTTCTTTTTTTTTAAAGAATTATTTTATTTAACTTTATTTATTTTATTTATTTATTTTAATTGGACCAGGGAGGTACAGAGTGAGAGAGAGAGAGAGAGAGAGAGAAAGTGAGAAAGCAAGCCGCCAGGTTTGGGACTCGAACTGTAGTCAGCCATGTGGGTGTCTAGTGCCCTGAACCACCACGCCACCTGCCAGGCCCCCCCACCAACTTCTTAAAGTTACCTTGTATTAAGTGAATAAATGAGTTATAAGTTTTTGTTTTTGTTTTCCCAGAAATAGTAACAAGTAGATTTTAGCAAGTAAACACCTAAAATCAACTTTATTTTAAAAATTGGATCAGGGCCAGCAGATGGTATGGTCATTAAAGTGTTGGACTCCCACATGGCTGACCACAGTTTGAGTCCTGGAACTGGCAGCTTGCTTTATCACTTTCTCCTGCTCTGTGTGTGTGTGTGTGTGTGTGTGTGCCTGGTAGCAAATTTTAAAATAATAATAATGATAAATAAAAATTAAATGAATAATTCTTTAAAAAAAAAAAAGGGCCAGCAGGCAATGTGATGATTAAGGCACTGGATCCCACATAGCCAACTCCATGGTTTCAGAACTAGACCTGGTGGCTTGAAAATCATGTGTGTGTGCATGTCCAAAATCCCAAGAAAATACTGGAGGAGAAGGGACTGTGGTGATTTTCCCTGCCAGAGGTGATTTCTCACTTTCCCTCTCTCTCTTTCTCTCTTTTCTCTCTCTTGTGAGCACATGTATCCTCTAGGAAAAAAAAAGGAAAGAAAAAATTTTCTTAGGCCTTGCAACTTAATTACAAATAGCTAATTATTTTGTCCATAAGCCTTAAGAGGCAAAATAATTTCCTCCTATTCATCCATCCCTTCACCCATCTAGTCTTTTTTTCCTTAAAGAATTATTTTATTATTATTTATTGAACTTTATTTATTTATTTTAATTTGACCAGAGAGAGAGAGAAAGAGAAGGGGGGAGTGAGAAACCAAGTGCCCGTCCAAGACTCGAACCACAGTCCACCATGTGGGAGAGTCTAGCATCCTTAACTACCACGCCACCTGCCAGGCCCGACTCATCCAGTCTTAACAGTGTACCTAAGGCAGATATACACAGTACTATCTATAGTTGGCACTCCTTGACCTACAAACCAGGAAACTCAGCTGTAGGAATGAAGAAAAATGGGCTTTTCTAAGGTTATCTTGTCAATTTCCTAGTGAAAGCCCTGGCTCTCTCAAGCATAAACAACCCCTTTCTAACAATCAGATTTTTTTGGGTCATTCTTCCCAAGAAATAACATTTTTCTTATGAGTAATGAAACTTATACCCTGAAACCTCAAAGAGCAGAGACAGCCTATGCGTGAGAATTAGATCTTTACTTTTTGAAGCTCCATTACCACTGGCCCCATTTCCATAGTGATGGATGCTCTGATCAACCTGACAGAATCCTGTCACAAGGGCAGGGAAGGAAGAGATTCCTCTTACTATTCTCCTGCAGCTGAATGTTAAGCTTGTAAAGTTCTAATTTAGCCCAGTCTCGTGGAAGACAAGTGTTTTTGTTGTTGTTGACTTTCTGATACAAAAGATCCTCAGGTTTCACTAAGGTGCTCTAACAGGGAAAAAGGGAAGACCAGAGATGGGGAAGAAAGAGATTGTGGGAGTGACATTAATGAGTAGACTATATCATTAAAATATCACAGATTGGAGCCACTAGGTAGTGTGAAGATTAAGGAGGCTGGATACCACATAGTCAACTACATGGTTCGAGTCCCAAACTGGTAGCTTGAAAAAAAAAAAAACACTGGACACGTGTGTGTGCATGCACACACCCAAAATCCTGAGAGGAGAATGAAGGGACTGTGTAGCATCCCCCCACTCCTCAGGTGATTTCCCACTTTCTCTCTTTCTCCCCCCCCATCTCTAGTAAGCACATGCACAATATCGCAAAATATTTTTAAAAGGAAAACACAAGCACAGGCTAATGCACAGGTAGTGTTTACACTACGTGCTTCATATAGATCATCTTGGTGATAGCTACTCTGTGGAGTAAGAGCTATTCATATCCTTATTTTTACAGTTAAGAAACCGAGTCTAGGGGGGTAAAATGAGTCCTCCAAGATCCTCACACAAATAAAAAGCTGCAGAGTCAGAATTCGAACTTGAGCCCTGACTCACAGGCATTGCACTCCAGAAGCAGCAGGAGAGCAGGCAGGCACAGGGCTGGGCAGTCTGCTATTTACCCAGCACGGGAAGACAATTACACAGTAATGAGCAAAGCGTGCTTAAGTTCCTAGAGTTTAGGAGGGCCTCCGAGGAGCATTTCAGGTTAGGCAGGAGGCTCCAGAGCAGTAATTACCATACACGATGTTTAAAGGGTGCTGCTTAACCACCTGCACTCAGAGAGGACTAGAGCATAAAGGGAAGAGCGAGCTGCAGAGAGCCAGGCAGTGAGTCAGGTGACACAGGGGAGCATGGGCCCAGTCAGACATTCTCTGCACAGACCTGGAGGAGGAACTTTGTACTGATTCGCATGATCTGATACCCATTTCATTCTGGTACTTAAGGAATGCTTACTACAAATACAAAGGGACTTCAAAAGTGTGTGGAAAAATGAATTGAAAGATGAGCTCAGGATGGCTCCACAGTCTGCTGGTTAAGGCAGCCTATGGGTCAAATCCTGGGCCTGGTGGCTCGAGAAACACATGTGTGCATGAGTACTCAAAATCCTAAAAGGAGGGAGACAGAGGAGAAGGGATTGTAGTGTGATCGTTCCCCATGGGAGGTGATTTCTCCTCTTCCTTTCTTTGTCTCTCTACCGCAAGCGCACACACCTCTAGCAAAAACAAACAAACAAAAACAGTTTATATTGGTGTAAAACATTTTAAAATCCATGCAGTTTCTTTCATAATACACATTGTTCATCATCTTTTTGAGGACTCCCTTGAATAGTATTTTACAGGTGCTGAGAATGAGAAAGGGAAACCTTAAGAAGTGGTTTCTGACTTCTACAAACTTGCAAATTAGTTGGTTTACTGTGTGGCATTTAACAGCAAAAGAGCAAACACAGTTTAACAGTCACGGTAATCACATTTTCTTCCAAAACACCCTGGGAAGACAGAAAATAAAAATAGGTTTGAAGGGGAGCAGTATCTGCTCTCAACCTCTCTGCCCATAAAGTCTGTGAAGAAAACCTCAGGGAGGGGTTTTTAAAGGCATGGTCCCTACCTAGTCAATGGAAACACTTCAGCTAGTCTTTGAACCGCCCCTCTGAAATTACATGTAAAATGATTATTGTAAATATTTGTATTTTTTCCAGGAACAGGATGTAGAGCTTTCATCAGATTCTCCAAAAGTACTCTCAGAGCTATGAAGACACCACCAGCCTCAGAGCATCAGACCAGAATTTCATTTCGGTTGTTATGAAATCTGAGGAAACTTCATACTCAGGGGGTTAGGATATGTCTTTAAAGGTTTGTATGCTAACCAGCAGATTTATTTCCCTCATAACCCTTGGGGAGTTTCCTGGAATTCTTAACTCAGTATCAGTAAACTCCCTGAAACTGTACACAATCAATTCTGTGTTAAAACATATCTGGTGGAGGTTGGGAAGTCCAGACCCTTCATCAGAACCTCAACTAAGTCTATACCACATATAGAGTGTGTGCAAATCCATTTTATGTGGATTTGTCTGGATCCAAGACCTCTGTCTTTTTTTTTAAGAGAGAGATCTTTGCTATAGAGCACATGTGCTTGCCGGAGAGACAGACAGACAGAAAGCAAGAAATCACCCACTGGGGGGATGGCCACACTGCAATCCCTTCTCCTCTGTTCTCCTCCTGGGATTTTGGGCATGCACGCACACATACCTGGCATGAGTTTTAAGCCACCGGGTCCAGGACTCAAACCGCAGTTGGACATGTGGGAGTCTAGCACCTTAACCACTACGCCACCCGTCAGCAAAGACCCCTGTCTTAATAAGTTAGGATAAGTCCCAGAATTTCACAGCATGAAGATAGGTGAGAAAAATTCTATGCCAGTTCCCTGTAGATGTCTAGGCCAGACCTTATCCCTACCCCTCAGCCCACCTTAAAATCCTCCTGGCAAATGTGCTTAGCTGACATCAGCTAGTCCATTTTAGACTGTACCTGAATCCCAGAACAGTTCAGAAGACCGAAAGAGTAAGCCACAGAAATAGCTAGGTTTCTAACTAGCTTGGGGTTACTTAGGATCTAAAGACTGAGGGAGGCCATAAATGTGTATCAGAAGCCTGTAAACGTCATGAATCTATATGTAAAAATCGTATGTGTATCCTCCTGAGGACAGCTTAACAGTCACAACCACAGAACCTAATCCTGGCACCTTTGCAACAAAAAGGTAGAGAACCTCAGACTTAAGCTATCAATGGCCACCACTGGACCCAAGATTCCACCAACATAGAGCAGAGCTCAGGCTCCAGGAAAACTCTGGCCAGGCAGCAAGGCTCCCTAGAGATGGGTCACTGACCTTTGTGCGGGGTACAATGTTGAGTTCCAGTTTTTGGTCCACCAAGCTGGCCCCTGCCTCTGAGAGATAGCCCTGGTTGAGGACAAGGCAGTCGCGGCCAAAGCAGCAGGGACAGCACAGCTTCTGTAGCCACTTGGTCCACTTAGGATTAAGGTGCCCATAAGGCTCTTCATTCTTGGGTTTGAAGACAGCAATGATCTTCTACACAGACAAAGAAAAAGAGGATGTTAAAGGTGAGTTGATTAAAGCAATCCACAGACCAAGTCAGTAGGAATCTGGAAGGAAATGAGAGAGCAGAGGCAGATAATCACTGCTTAGAGTCATTCACAGCCTTCTCCCAGCTTATAAGGGAAAGACACCAACACAAGTGTGTAGCTAAGAGACCCACTTCTGGGAAGGGCTGAGGCCAGAGAAAGAGCCGAGTCTCATTCTTCCTTGCTATTTTGCTCGTCTTCGCCACCTCTCTTCCATCATATAAGTCTCACCTCTAATGCTGTGCTTCAAACAAGCAAGGTAAGTAGAGTTCTACTTTTTTAAAAAATATTTACTTATTTAATTCCATTTGTTGTTATTATTTTTTAAATTTGACAAGAGAGAGACAGAGAGAGAGGAGAGAAAGTGAGAAAGCAAGGTCCTGGACTCGAACCACAGTCAGCCATGTGGGACTCCAGTGCCTCTAACCACCATGCCAACTGCCGGCCCGAGTTCTACATTTCTAAGAGCAAGATACAATGCCAGCTCAGTGGCAGGTCTTGAGTCACTGGCAATAATCTTAACCAATACAGTGCTGCTTCCTGCCCTCCCAGAAGGATAAAACACTACACTCCACATGTCAAGGGTTCGAAAATAATCTTTTCCAGGGCCAGTCCTACAGCCCAGTGGTTGAGGGTGCCCAGATCTCACATGGCCAACCACAGTTCAAATGCCAGTCCTAGCGGCTTGGAAAGCATGCCAGACATGTGTGTTTTCCCAAAATCCCAACAGTATGGAGAAATGGAGAAAGGACTGTGGCATGACTACATGCCATTGGCAAGTGCTTTCTCTGTTTCTGGTGAGTACCTGTATCCTCTGGTTTTAAAAACAAAATTATCTTTTTCATAAAGATAAAAAATAACTTATCATGGATCACACGTTAGCTTTGTGTGTGGATATCCTTGCCCATTTATTCTACAGGACTTTTCTTTACATAGTATGTCAAAAATTTAACACCATCTGGGACCAGCAGTTGGCATAACGGCTTAGGTCGCTGGACTCCCATGTAGTCACCACTGTTCGAGCCCCAGACCCAGTGGCTTAAACTCACCAGGCGCATGTGTGCGCGTGCCCAAGATCCCAAGAGGAGAATGGAGAAGGGACTGCGGTGTGGCCATCCCCCCCCGGGGGGGGGAGGGTTTCTCACTTTCTGTCTCTCTGTCTATCTCTGTCTTTCTGGCAAACGCACACGTCCTATAGCAAAAACCTCTCAAAAAAAATTTAATACCATCAAAATCCAATTTCCAAGGTGTGCACGTGCACGCGCGCACACGCGCACACATGCACACACACACACACACAGTTTTTCTGCATCAACTATGTAAAGACTCCAAAAATTAACAACTGAAAGGAAATACAGAAGGTATTATGAAATGAGGTTAAGGTCATTTTTCATCAGCGGCTGATTTCTTCTCAGTCTTACTATCTCACTCCCTGGGTGTTAACAAAACCTTGAAATAGAAAGTTTTGGAATGACAAACCAAAAAAGCAACCAAAGAGAAAACTCACAGCAGGAAAAAGGATCTGCTACATGGCTAGAATAGCTGTCCTAAATAATTCTGATAGACAAGAGACAAGGACATGCGATTAAATCCATTGTCTCTAGCAGATAGTAACGGAATCCTCGAAAGTCTTTGGAAATATGAAATGCCTAGAAACAATGGCCTTGTCTCCTTAATGTTTTCTTCCACAGGCCGGTCAGCCCTCCTAGGTTATTTTATGTGTATTTCATTCCCTACAGTCCCCAAACTAGTAATTCCAAGGAAGAACAGCAAATGTGCTCTCCAAGTGATTCATCTCCAGATCCTATGACTCTCCTCTCTCCTCCCTCACCCGGCAGCCAACTCAAGCTGGTCTAGGTCATAAGACATATTCCTGTGGGCGTCACTTCCTCAATGGCAAGTCAGAGCAGACAACATACACTCATCTGCCTCCAGTAAGTACTCACAGTATGAACGGACTTGTTCCACAACTGTAACAAGTCCCTCAAAAAGCCTCGCAAAGCTTTGAGAGGGCAAGAGAAATACAGAGCTCTCCTCCTCCTTCCAAAACAAATGAATTTATTCTTAAAGGCAAACTTAATTATTTACTGGCAAAAGTGCAATGTATTTACACTGAATCCTCAGAATTACTTTATCTAGAGCAGTTAGCAAGAGGCCTAAGTTATCAGCCTTCTTCTGTCTCTGCTCCCCTGGACCCCTATCCCTGAACTACAAAACAGCAGTATCAGGGACCAGCAGTTAGCGTAATAGCTATGTTGCTGGACTCCCATGTAGTCAACCGTGGTTCGAGTCCCGGACCCGGTGACTTAAACTCACACCGGGCAAGTGCATGTGTGTGCCCAAGATCCCAAGGGGAGAATGGAGGAGAAGGGATTGCGGCGTGGCCATCCCCCTCTGGGGGGTGATTTCTCGCTTTCTGTCTCTCTGTCTCTCTTTGTCTTTCTGACGGGCACATGCGCTCTTTAGCAAAAACCTCTCCAAAAAAAACAAAACAGCAGTTATCAACAAGCTCACAACTCGGAGATCTACCATCGCTCTCTGAACCCTGGACAGTGAAACTACAGGGGAGAGACCAGCAGATGGCGTAATGGCTATGTTGCTGGACTCCCATGTAGTTGACTGCAGTTCGAGTCCAGGACCCGGTGGCTTAAACTCACACTGGACACATGTACATGCCCAAGATCTCAAGAGGAGAGTGGAGGAGAAGGGATTTTGTGGTGGCCACCCCCCTGGGGGTGATTCTCGCTTTCTGTCTGTCTCTCTCTGTCTTTCTGGTGGACACACACTCTTATAGCAAAAAACCTCTCAAAAAAAGAAAAAAAAGAGGGACCAGCAGTTACCGTAATGGCTATGTTGCTGGATTCCCATGTAGTCAACTGCGGTTCGAGTCCCGGACCCAGTGGCTTAAACTCACACCAGGCGCGTGTGCGTGCGTGCCCAAGATCCCGAGAGGAGAATGAAGGAGAAAGAATTGTGGCATGGCCATCCCCCTTTGGGGGGTGATTTCTTGCTTTCTGTCTCTCTGTCTCTCTCTGTCTGTCTGGCGAGCACACGCGCCCTATAGGAAAAAAAAAAAGAAAAGAAAAGAAAAAGAAACTACAGGGGAACCTGAAGCATGTTCCAGAATTCAGAATTCAACCGCCAGTTCAACTGAGGCACAATGTACACTTCAGTAAGCTGGTCCCCAATGACAGGGAGACCAAGACATGCCAGCTACTAGCAGGGGTTAAAAAATATCGGGGCTAAGGCTTAAATACTTCCAATGAAAGAAAGCAGAACTTGAAAGCCAGGATTGCAACCAAGCATCATTTATAGACTAATGTCTCAAACTTCTCAATTTCCTCCCACCATGAGGAAAGCATCTCATTGACTCTAAAAGCACTGGTAACTATGGTTATCTCAGTAGCATGGGGTTTCACTGAAAAATACTTTCTGGACCAAAGAACTAGGGGAATGGTAGGCCAAGTAGATGGAGGAAGAAAAGGGCATCAGATGAAGGGGAGACGGGCGCCTTGCAGGACCAAGTGCAGGCCTCAGTTCATTTCTGTTAACATCTGCTCTGGACCGAGTTTGTACAAGAGTGTGTAACCACTCGGAGGGGTTTCTAGACAGAGACATAAAACAGTCTCTGGTCTGAATTCCAAAGCGAATGTTGAAGTCATATAATCACCTAAGTAGGCAAATGATCAAGACCACTCTCCTCATTCATTGAGAACAAACTCTAAAACCACTCCCGTTCTCAACAGAACGACATCCACCAGGATTCAGCTGGGAAAGAAAATGACTATTGCCTAATTTTTCTCACCGTTCTCTCTGCTAGACTTTCAATTCTTTTTTAACATTTAGGAGAAAGCTTCACTTTATAGTGCCTACACTGGACACATGTACACCCACTTACTAATCTGTCCGTCCTTTTAATGAAGGGGTGAGGTACAGGTAGCTTAAGTACAGCAGTCCATGACACTGCAGATAAAAAGCGCATATGGCTACATTGCTAGACTCCCATGTAGTCGACTGCAGTTCGAGTCCCAGACCCGGTGGCTTAAACTCACTCCAGCGCATGTGGATGCGTGCCCAAAATCCCAAGAGGAGAATGGAGAAGGGATTGCAGCGTGGTTATCCTCCCTGGGGGGTGATTTCTCACTTTCTGTCTCTGTCTCTCTCGGTCTTTCTGGCGAGCGCACACACCCTATAGCAAAAACCTCTCAACAACAAAAAAAAAAAAAAAAGGCAAAACTACATGAGGGAGCAATGGGTCACTGCTGGTGTCTGGAGCCATTGCCAGTTACTAGAGCTTGGAACCCAGAATGTTTCCTGTATCTGCTCAGCAGTGACAAGCATGAGGGTATTATCTATGTTAAAAGAGGCCTTTTTCTCTAGAAAACTAAAATTTAAGATAATTCAGACACATTATTCATATCATACAGTGAAAACACAGAAATGATCTTCAATAACTCAGTTATTTAGGGCCAGCAGGTGGCTTGGTGGTTCAGGCACTGGACTCTCACATAGCGTCTGTGGTTCTGAGTCTTGGACCTGGTAGTTTGAAAATTATGCCAGGTATATGTACAAGATTGTCCAAAATCCTAGAAGGAGAGTAGAGGAGAAGGGATTGTGGTGTACCTATCCCCCCCCCACCACCACCAGAGAGGGGTGATTTCTCTCTGGCAAGTACACATGCCCTGTGGCAATAATCTAAAATCAACCAACAACAACAACAAAAGGTTTTTTTTAGTTTGGTAACTTAAAGGGGATGGTCCTCAAACTTTTCTTCTCAAGATCTCCCTATTCTCTCTCTTTTTTTTTAAATTTTTATTTATTCATTCATTTATTTTAATTTGACTAGAGAGAGACAGAGAGAGAGGGAGAGAAAGTGGGAAAGCAAGCCACCAGGTCCAGGACTCGAACTGTGATTGGCCATGTGGGAGTGTCCGGCACTCCAACCAC